AATGTTGATGGAAAATATACCAACTACTTAAAGCAAGGACATAGTGCAGTCAATGTTTGCGTCTGTAATAAAGGTTACATTTCAGAGTCATCTTCGTAATTGACCTTAAAAGTTTTGTACAAAACATGCACTGACCCAGCAATGCGGATTGTGCCCAGCCCCACAAATTTTAACACCATCCTCTCAGCCTTTCGATGTAGAGATAGTCTGCTCGTCATATATAACCGCCTACTTCTCAAATAGGACCTAGATCCTTCATGGAATATCAAGAAAGCAATTATGACTTAAGTAGGGCAAAGTTGGAATTATTGTTGCTAGTTACATGTAGATCGTCAAAAGATATAAGTAGCATGATTGTACTGGTTCCGTTAGTGTACAAGTACAAGTTATTGTCAGTTAAACTACGTGTCCAGCCATGAGCCTGTAGCTCCTTGTTAAATTCTTTGTTCCAAATTTTAGGACTTTGTTTCAACCCATGGATAGATTTATTAAGTACATATTAAATGCTCTTTTCTTGGTATCTCAAATCCATGTGGTTTGCACATGTAGAGTAGTTCCTTCAGCTTTCTGTTGAAGAATGCGGTAACTACATCTATGTAAAATATCTCCTAACCTTGAATTACAATTACAGGCATGAAGAGTCAGATTGTAGACCATGTGGCTATTGGTGCATATATACCATCAAAATCAATTTCTTGCTTCTATTCATATTCCTTTGTAACTAACTTGACTTTCAATTCAAATTTTATACCATCTTGTTTCACCAATAAGATCCAATAACATGAGATTGGTTTTACTCCATGTAGTGATTTTATGAAGTCCCAAGTGGTATTTTTTTTGCATGTGAAGCTAATTCCTCTTCCATAGATATTTTCTAGTACTTGTTTTTAGTTAATTTTGTCCAAGATATAGAGTAATTTTGTCCAAGATATAGAGTACCAATGATATTTCTATCTCCTCTACTGTCTTTTGTAAAAAATCACATCTAGAGTAATTACAATTTTCTTGCTCCATGATAAATAACATATATAAGTTTGTACGCCTTTCACTATAGATCATATCCAACAAGGATTGCTTTGAATAATTTTTCTCCTAGCTTGTTTTGTCTCTGCTTTGAGATGTGCACATGTGCTTTTTTTGCCAATTACCATGAAGTGTGCCACATTAGATAGCTCTTTCACAGAATTTGTAAAAGCTTTGATTAAAATTCTAAACTTCTAATTGAATAGAATTAACGTTGTTGTATAGTAACATGGCTATTAGGTGGAAAAAAAGAAGAAATATTTTATTATAGAGGAGCTTAAATAATAACATTTTAATAAATTATCTTAAAAATAAAGATAATAGATAAGGAGGTAGTAAAAATTAATAAGTGATAATATTGCCTTCATGTAGAAGAGACTTATACTCACTTTATAGAGGCATAAATAAGCCAAATCAAAATAAATGAGATATATAATTAATTTTGGTTATAGAAAAAAAAATCACCTCAAAATACCAAGAATTGATATCCAAAGAAGAATGGTTGTGAACCAAGCTCAAAATCAAACCCCAAGGCACAAAACCATGCACCTATAGTGACTTTGGGATTCTTTGATTAACAAAAGAGCAGAGTTTGAGAGAAAACTTATGAAAGAACTTTTAAGAGTTGATTTCATGTGATTTAAAGATATATCTAGGTTTTGAGAGCTTTTCAAAGTAAGAGGTGTATGTAATAGATTTGGATTTTAAGAAATAAAAAGAAGTTTACAAATTTGATGATTTTATGAATATTATATCATATTTACAAGTGGGTTTTTTTTTTTTTTTTTTTTTTTTTTTTTTTTTTTTAATTTGTCATTGTGCTTGTTGTAAATATATGTGAGAAATTTGATGTCACTTGATGGGTAAGATTGAAGGTTGTGAGAGTTTTTGTGGCTTATAGTCTTGGATAATTGAAATTTAGGATTAGAGAGGATTTTTGCACTCTTGCAATATCCACTAGTTTGATTGAATAAAAAAATTAGTGAGAGCAATTTAGACTTAAATATCGACACACTAACGAATTTTTGAAGCAATTGAATAGTTTAGTAAGGAGAAATCTTTGTTGAAAGATCAACATTCAAGTTGGAGAAGGAAGGTGGTTGACATCCAAGAGGTTTTGGGAGCTTTTATTTCAATTAGTGAGTTTGATTCTTCTCAAATTTTGTGTGCTTGTAAATTACTTGTAGATTGAAGTCTGAGTGAAATTTTAGTCAATATCAATAATTTAATTAATATTTATTGAGATTTCAAAACAATTATAGTAGTTAATTAAGTTTTTTTTAGGATTTTCTTACGATTTTTTAGGATTTGTTTAGAGTTTAGTTAGGATTTTGAATTTGTTTAAAGTTTGATTAAAGTTTGATTAGAATTTAACTAAGATTTAGTATTTGATTAGTATTTGGTTAAAATTAATTTAAAATTTCATTAAAATTTGATCTATGATTAGGATTTGGTCTAAGTTTAAGATTTGGGATTTTACTAGAATTTTTTTGAATTTGATTAGGATTTATTTAAGATTGGTTTAGGATTTCATCAAAATTTGGTTAAGATTTTTTAAAGATTTTTTGAATGTTATATTAGGATTTGATTAGGATTTTCATTTTTAATGTATATATGTATATATATATATATATATATATATATATATATAAAATTAATTTATGATTTTTTTATGTTTTTTTTATAATTTCTTTGAGACTTCTTTTGAGATTTAATTAAAATTTGATTAGTATTTTTATAATTTAATTGGAGTTTGTTTAGGTTTCTATTAGAGTTGTTAAGCTCTTTTTGTTGCAAGTTCTATTTTACCTTCAATAGTTAGGTGCCTAGTGCATTCTCAAGAAAATTTCACAAAATATGATAATGTCTAGTTGTTGCATTTGGCTATTCCATTTTATTGGAAGATTCTAACAAAAGCTAGGTGCCTTTATATGCCTTAGCTATTATAAAATATACACATATATATATATATATACACAACATTTGAAGTGATCTTGTAATTAGAAACTTGGAGAGCTTTTGGATAACATTGCAATGTTGTTTTCTTTTGATACAATCATGACAAAAAGAATTTGACCAATCCAAACTTGAAAGACTAATAAAAGAATTGTAAAGAGCCATTGAGTGAAGTCTCCAAAAATTGACAGGGTCTAATTGGTAGTGCCATGTGTTTGAGTGCATTTTTTTATATAATAAAGTTGCGAGTGGTGGCAAATTCAAAAGTATCAATTATGACTTTAAGGCTTCATATGGAAAATTTATCAAATTACAAATAATAAAATCTTTGTTGAAGTCATGCAAGAAACTTATATTGTTGGATAGCCCTTGAATGCATTTTGGCTTGTTGTTGGGATCACAAAGACCATGCAGTCTAACTTGCTTGACATTATAAGTTGGATACATACATTGATAAGTTGTCCTATAGAAAGCATATTTTTACAAGTGCGGAGAAATAGAGAACATTTGCAACTTTATTGCCAACTTTATTGCCAGCTATTTTAGTACATCCTTTGCCAACAACAATCAATATGTGGCCTCCTTCTATAACTATATTAAACGAACCTACAATGGCCTGAAGCTGATTAGTGTTCAAGCTACTTCCTGATATAAGGGTATTGTCCTCGAAATCAAGCAACCATTTGTAGTAAATTTACAGAAAGAGCTATTGCAACTGTGCCTTCTTATCCACCTCCTTCAATAACAACATGGTCGTCTTCAGCATTAGCATTGCTCTCCAAACGGTAAGTTTGATTGGGACCTTTGATGCACATGACCTCTTCATTGATGTGCTGCAGTTGAGAGAAGTGCATGTTATTGATTTTTCCTTTAACTTGCTCATACAAACATTCATTCTCCCAATGTCCACTTTACCATAGTAATTGCATTAGCCTAGCTTCTTCTAATTCTTTCCATGTCCACGACCACCACCACGGCCTTTTCTACGTGAGTTGGAACCAGAAGACTCATTAATCGCAGGAGCTGCAATTGATTTCGAATTAGCACTCACAAGTTGTGCGTATCGTGGCTGTTGAAATGCAACAAGAGATTCCTCCAAGAAGTTGAGTGCACAAATATCTTCTTCAACCTAAATGTATCTAATGAATTCCAAGAAAGTCATATTGGGCTTGTTGTGAATGATTGCTCCAAAAGAGCTTTTCTAAAAAGACCAGCTCATAGGAAGATGGCACATAGTAATCCAAAGCAATTCATTGTCATTGATGGTCAGCCCGATGTTTGCCAACTGCATGACCAAACCATCCACCTCAAAAAGATGATGATCAGCTTGGGGCCCTATGGAGGTGAATCACTTGATCTTTCTACGTCATTTGCAAATTAATTGCAGCCAATTTGAACTGCATATTGAAATTGATCCACAGTTCGTCTGGATTCTTAGAGAACTGGCTGATGATGTTGAGAATGTGATCCTTCACGGTATTTATGAAGATGCAAGTGGCCAACTTCTTATCATTGGACATAGCCCCGACAGTATCTTGCTCCCATTTGGCTTAACAACTTCAAGCCACACCTTTCTGCTCCGTTGCCATATGCCTTAAATTGCCGCGGCATGTGGTTGCCGGCGCCTTCGAGTTTGTCACTTTCGGAACAAAGGCTAAAAGACTTCATTTGCAAGACTAGGTGTCCTCTAATGGTGACGGGTGGAGCCACGGCAGCGTTTTAAGTGACTCCGACGGAGCTGGTAGCGGGAACGTTCTATCCTCCAAGAGGTATCAGAGCGACACTGTTTGACTATTGTGCCTGAGTGAAAACTCTGCCTTTAATCAGGTGAGCCTGAGTGTAAACTCATGGCTCAAGTTGTTGGATTGACTCTTGTGCGCCAATAGTGAGTTTGTGTGACACTTCTACAATTTGATGATGATTTCTGCAAACACTTCGACAATCTTCATTGCTATACAATCTTCATTTCCTGCTCACCGCAAGGGTGATAGTCTAGACCTAGTTCCTGACGAGATAATTCAGTGGTGAAAGATGTATCAGATGATCACTAGTTTTTCCCTTTTGAGATCATCTTCGTGTTCCTCGATTTCTGGGACAATCGATATGTCAGCGCTGCAATTCATCACCTGTTCGCCGCATTGTACTGTATCAATCCTGCCTTGAAGGGGAGACAGAATAGTGCAATGGCATATGAGCCACTTATACAGATCCTACCCATACTTAAGTCTTGTCTGACATGTGAGTCCCACGAAACCCTTGCTCAAATCCTTGCTCAAATCCAATGAACCAGTGCTCTCAATTTCGAGGATTTGCCTTGCGAGCCCACCATGCTGTGCCATATCCGTGCTTCAAAATATGCCACTGATCCATACAAATGACATGTTTTTATGCCTGCAGATCTCGTAATCGTAATCGTGGCTGAAACCACAGTTCTGCGCTTCTGAAACAAAAAAGTGGACTAGTCAGCCAATCCATGGAGGTAGAGTTGTTGAGAATAACTAACGCGGAGCCGAGTTCGCACAAGTGGCATCAAAAGTTGAGTAGTTTGTTTTGCTGTGTCGTCGTCTAGTCGAATCGATAGATGTAAAGACTAATTGGAACCTCGGGGAGATGCAATTCGTAAAAAGCTCACTGTGGGTGCTGCGGTCCACACGATTTCAACCGACTTGAATTATGTGGAGAAACAAGTTGTGTCCGATGCTGGTGGTGGACCCAACAGCTAGTTGAAAAATTGCAAGTTTGCCCCGATCTCAAATGGTACCATTCGTTAGGAAGGGATGCATTCAACACATGAAACGACAAAAAACAAATCGCGTTTTGGTCAAATTCTTTCCTATTGACTGGTCAATAAATGGACGGTGTGGTGTGCCTACAACCGAAATTGGCTGTAAAACCCCATCTGTAGCTGCGTTATCTGACTCCAATGACTATCTCAATTGCTTCCAGAACTTGGAGTACTGGTGATTCCTCTTCGACCCACAATGACTTGACGAGTCAGCACCAGGTTTTAATTGTTACGTGCTCGAGGAAATACGGTGAAATCTTTTCTCTTTGTCTAGTTGACCGCGTCATCATATGAAATGGGTTCCTCGCACGGTAAACCGGTTTTCCTCTAACGTACCCACAATGCTCTAATAACATTGCCGTGTAGAGCAAAGTGGAGTCATTATCTTGCAAGACGAAACTCTTCTGTGAGGATTTGTCAAAGTGTTCGGAAAAAATTCATCTGTAGAGATTACTGCCGACGACAAGGCAAGGGTGCAGCATGCGGCATTAGCCAAGGTGCTTTTTTGCAGATTCTGTCACTCCAATGACGCATGGATCCACGTCACATGTGCTCCAGCATAAACCACTCGGCAACACAGCAATGCCAACTAAAGCTCTCTTCACAAAGCTGCTAGGTCAATAATTGCTTTTTTCAATCTCAGGTTTTCTAACATCGTCTTACCGACCTTTCTTGTAATTGTCTATGCCAGGCTCACAAATAATCCTTTTGTTTTACATTGGCGACAGTTGTGCGTCGGCAATTGGATCATCCCCTAAGACCAGCAATCTTGGTTGTCACTCCCGCACCTCACTTCTGTCGCGCATTCGGCGATGCTTCCACTGATGTGGAGTTGTCAGTGTGGACTATCACTACTCGATTAGAGCAACTCTCAAGAGGCCTTTGATAGCTGGTGCCCAACCCAGTTCGCCGCCGTCATTCTATTTCCTGCTTTAAATTTGGCTGTTCTTTGTAGAGCATCTCGCTTGCCTCTCTCGCCGCGAGGAAGACCAACCTAGATCCGGTGATATTTTGACTGGTTTGTTCACTGTGGTTCCGCTACGGACTGGAGGGTAACGAGATCTGCAAACAAGGTAGTGTAGCTTTCGATTTCAAGGCGTGAAGCCCGAGCGGCGTCAGATCATGAGGTGGTTTAAGTATATCCTGTTTCCTGGAAGTGCATCGCTAGCTGCTGTGTGATTTACTCCGCCTGTGATTGACTCCTGTGTCCGTTTCTTAAACTCCGTTGTTTAATTTGAGGGGATGCGGATGAGCAAGGAGCGTGTAGTCGTGTTCTGTTGAAAGTCGAGATAGTATTCGTAATTTTTGATGACTTAACAAAGGTGTGGTAGGAGTGGTGATGCTCCTCGATTATGTGTAAGAATGCGTAAGTTTAGTACAGTCCAGCGAGGTGACGCGGTTTTTCAGATGGTTCATCAAGCTTATGGATTGTGAATAGTCTTATTTAATCGAAGCGCTTTTATAGCAATATCACGTTTTTGGTGATGTGTGCTTATTAGCGTACGAAGCAGATGCTTTTGAGGCTCGTTTTATGCGAAACACAGCGAATGGTCTTATTTAGGTGAGCGATGCTTGGTGCGAGATTGTGTGACCTACCTTGTCTAAAGGGGTTTCGCTTCTGTGAATGTACATCGAAGTTGTGAATTGTTTAGCGCAATTGTGTCGTTAATGTTTGGCGTGGCAGTAGGTGCGCTATTCTACATTAGCGGATTTAAGTAAGGGGAAGCCAGGCGTTGGTATTAGGAGTGGCGTCTTTCTAACTGTCGAGGTCGGCCTTGGACAAGAGAGCTAGACCCAAGGTTCGCGTTGGAGGTGGAAAGAAAGCCTTCAAAGAGATCCGACGTTCTGCTCGCTTGGATTTAAACTTTATTCTAAAGCTCTTACTCGTGGTTTAGCAAACTGTAGGACATCGTTAAATATCTAGGCAGAAAATCTTCGCAGTCGACACTCATAAGATGTCTACTTCCTCACCTACAAATATGGGAGTTGGGTCTGGGAAGAAGATGACTATGGCCAGTGCGCAAGTTGGGGAAAAGCTGGCGCACTTAAGAGCCGACCTTCGATTTGGATTATACCGACTTTCGCATCCCTTACTGGCCAAGGAGGAGTATGATGCAGCGCATGAATCGAATATTGTTCAGTAATCGGTAGCCACCGGTAAGCTACTCCAATCCTATTTCCCAATGCTGTAGGACCATCGAGTGCATCTGCATCAAACTTTTGTTGCACACATTTGTGTCGGTTTCTCGTCGTCTCATATAGAGCGTTACTGAAACTTTTAAGAAGAATCGGAGGAGAAAAGATCAGTTCGTGCAAAAACAATTTAGGGCAATATTTTAAAACTTAACGAAAGGGTTACTTATCCGTGTCGATGACTTGAGTACGTGATTCTGGCATGTCTAGCCAATCAGATATGTTTACGTGTTTTTATTAAGAAACACATTAATGAGGTTAGTCATATTTAGCTGGTCAATGTTTTGGAGAGCAGGCCATCTATTTACTCCAATCAAGGCAAAATTGTGCTATGGAAATAATGATGTATTGCCTCTTCAAAGTGTCATTTTTATGCTCGTTCCTTTGGGTGAGTGTTACTGAAAGCAGCAGAATGATAGCCAGTAAAACTACAACGTGATTGCAAAAAGTTGTGTAGTGAGTTGTGGGAGTAATCTGGTGAAATGTTTCATGATGGTTTTGTATTATATAGCAACGAGTGTGATGTCCTGAGTTTTGAGACATCTCAGATCTCCTTGCCCTTAAAATGAACAACAATGAAGAAAACTTAGGTTCTGCAGAGTCGCATTAGGTATTGACCATATGAGTCTGCATATCTAGAATCAGGCTGTGTTGGATTGTTTAAATATTTTGGATTAAAACAAATTTCTCGGAGAACAGAACCTTATTTGGGAGGTGTTTGTGCATTTTGCAGAGAAAAGGCGGCAACAGGAGGCAAGGGCACGTGCCATTGCGAATGAGAAAAAACTTGCCAAACGGAAGGAACAAACTATGCGGGCTGGATTTTCAGCACCTTTGTAGACTAGAACATTTGTAGTATTTGTATAACGGAATCAGGATTCGGAGGCGGTCATTGTGGCCAGCATCTCTTTTTTTATTAGAGGAATTTATTGTCTAATTGGGATCTATCGTTATATTTATAATAGCTCCAGGGTATATGATGCGTGTTGTTGCTTCAGTGGTTAACCCTATCATATATCGCACTAGGTTACCCTTGTAGCGAACCAATTTGTAAATTTTTATTGAAGGATGTAGTTCCTAGCTGGGTGAAAATTATATGCTTGAGACCCAAGCACCTCGTCAACATAATAACTTTTATTTTTATTTTAATTACAGCTCCATTTCAGAATGCTCGTTATAATTTGTTATCCCCTATTTTGATTTTAGTCACACGTCTCTCAAATGTGATTGGCAACCTATCCTATTCATCTACAACACATTTGCAGGAAGTGTTATAGTTTTCTGAAAAATCATGAATGATACAGAGCTTCACAGATATGGAGGGGAAAACCTGGAGACGCACATTAGTCCAACACTGTAGAACTGATGAACAATTTTGTTTGAACCAGTACACAGCGCATGCATTGACTGCTAAAATAAACTTCTACCACAGTTCAAACCTACACATTGCCCAATACTCCGTCGAAAGAGATGCTCACCTAGTGAAAGACGGCGATTACTTTAATTCTACTGCCATCTGCGAGAGTACGAGAAAGTTGTCCACATCACAACTGTAAATGCACTCAGAAAGAGATGGCAACCCCTATTACCCTCGAGAAAGTTGTGATCAGATCGTAACGTCATGGGAGCATTGCAATGTACTAGACTGTGGCAGGCATTCCCATGGCTGCACAAGAGGTTGGTGAGGGGATTTGGTGCGGTTGATGTCACAGCAGAAGAGCACAAACTGCTGCCAGGGATTGTCTGTCGAGACCCAGTAAGAAGCTTCCACTGAACTCTATCGATCCCACACTCAGTTTTCAGCTGGAGTTAGAAGGTGAGAAATGCTTTCCACCTTTCAATTGCGTGCATCCACCACTTGCTGTGGTCCGTGAGGGTCAGTCTCAACTTCCAATTAGTCGTCCGATCGTCAATAAACCTGCACAAACCATGAGAAAAAAAAAAACAGACTCCAGTGAATCCGCAACGTGTCTGTGGAGCTACACCACCGATAACCGTAATTAGTGTGTATCCACACTATTCGGATGTTGGTGTAGATATTGATACGCAAAAGACAACCATAGATCCAACAATTGGATTTCAGAAGAACAAAAGATTCAACAATTGGGTTTAAATGGAAAAAGATTCGAAGGAGTGACGCGACGCAATGATTGTTTGGTTTCCATACTTCGCAAATAGTGTGGTACACACTAATTACGGATGTTGGTGTAGCTCCATTTCCGCACACATACAAGTGCCGCATCGGGGATAGGATGAACTCTGTTCACATAGATATGTACATCCATATTTACTATTCATCCCCATCATGAAAGTACTTGGATGAGTTTTCCTCTGTTCATCATTGTTCAATTTCATCAGGCTTTTATTGTTGATCTCATCTAAAATAGGGAAATATTAGATTGGTGTACATAAATCTTTAACTGATCCAAGTAAATCTTAAACTAACCCACCTTTGCTTTTATTATCATGTATCATGTTATAAAAAATTAATAATATTTTTGGAGCAATATAGATTATTATTTTATTTTATTCTCTATGTTACAATATTATTAAATGCAATACCTGATCTAGACCTTTTAAAACTAATATAAAGTTGTTTAAACATTGGCATTCTTATAATTTACAAGAAACCCAAATTATATTGAATGGTCTTTTAAGTACAGCTGAAGAGACTATATCAATGAATCCAACTTTGCATTATGGTATAGCTTTAAAAATATATATATATATATATATATATATATATACATATATATATATTTTACATGGTATAAAAAATACCAAATTAATAAAATAGCTTCTTAGTTTAAAAACATATATATATATATATATATATATATAACTGTCATAGTTGCTTCACCATATTAAATGTCATCTTTTGATCTTCATTCCAAAAAACTTGGTGAAGTTGTAAAGATGTAGTATTAGATAGCATTTATTCTATACTTACAAACCTTGAATTCTATATAGTCAATGGACCTAGCTACATTGGATAATTTAAGCTTGAAGAATATTTTTGTTCTAAATTAGTTTTTTGACCTAGAACTTGTGTCTTTGGCTTTTTTTTATTTATTTATATATCAAGAATAGGAACAATTAATTAGATTCTCTACTTGCTTATATATTTTGCTATAGGTTGATCTAAATATTTTTATATGAAAGAAAAGAAATTAATAAATAAGTATAATAATACAAGGCAATGTCATTTAAATGGTTTTATAAACTAAAATTTATTTTAGAGTCATATATGATTCTACTTAGAATTATTTAATGATATTAATTTTGATAGGATACATTAGTATTGATTGGATTAATAAATTTTGTATAGCAAGGTCTATTTATAATTCAAATTTTGGATATACTCCATCTTTTGTGTATAAAAAATCATTGCATTCAATTGATTGTAGCTACTTTAGTTTTTTATTTTGTTTTATTTTTTTCCACCAAATCAATTTGTTATTTGTAAAGACATGAGTGGTGTTTAATCTCCACCTATCAATCATAAAGAAATGCAACAAATTGGAAGATTTGATTAGATTTAGTAAAATATGGTGTCATGAGTTGAAACATATAACTATCCTTCTTGAGTTCCTTGTACTACTTCAATGCTTTGATGGCATACGTTCATTGCACTTTATAATGCTTAAAGCTCAAAACTACAATAAGGAATGTTATTGCAATAGAGATTGGCTTGCATAGAAGAGAAATGATGGCTTGAAGTTGTTTTGCATGTGGTTTGGATAGGAACATTGGAGTTGCCTTTGTTTGTTATGTTTTTTTATTGAACTTATTGATTTTTGAATCTACATTGGATTCTTGAGAGATACCATGCCATACAAAACTGTAATGAAAAATAAGCCTATATTTTAGGAATATGTAAGGGTGGCATAAAGTCTTTGGACATTTGATTTATATTGAATGTTCTATGTTTGACTATTTCCAATGTCTTGACAAACCAAAAGGTCCAAGACTATCTAAAATCTTTAAAAAATCAATGTGGTAGGCATTAAAAGTTGATATTGTGGTACTAGATTGTTATCACATTCTATTAGAAACAATAGAAGATAACCATTGTTAGAAATAGGAAGCCAATTGAATATATATCATAGTATAATTTCGTTGTATTTGTGTGAGTTATGTTTTTTTTAGTACAATGCAATTTCTAAAACCCATCTTAGTGACAAGCATAAGTTAGATAGGCTTGCAATTGCTTGTACTCATGAAAGTTAGAGTTTTGAAGATTAGTGCAATAAGATTTGGTAAGACAAGTCATCATTCAAAATTAGTAAGAATTGAAGGCAAATTAAAGTATGGCAAAAATTATACAAAAGATATATGTGGAATTGTATAATACCAACTTTTAAGTTTGGCCATAATTTGATGATGGTTTGAGGTGCATTTAATGTCTTTGATAAATGCTCTCTTATTATTATGCCTCTAGACAAAAGAACATCAAGCAATCATATAACAATTGTTTATGAAGGAGCATTAAGAAAGTCCTACTTTATACTTAATTATCTTAAACAATTGAAACTTATAGAAGCTAGAACTCTAGTCTACTATAGCTCACTTGAATTGAAATGAAGACAGGTTTAGGCTTTGATAAAACTAATTTGGCCCACAAACTCTCTAGATTTGAATCTCATAGAAAATCTATGGAAGATTATCAAAGATATTTTGCAATATTGTTGCATACCAAAAAACAAGGAGAAAATGACAAAAATTTATTCAATCAACATGAGATACAATATCTTTAAAGTAGCTCCAAACCTTGATTAGGAGTATGCCTGACACAATGCAAGTAGTTATTTCAGCAAGCGGTGACAACACCAAATGGTAGATACAACATTATCATTTTTAATTTTAATTTTGTAGTTCTGTATTAAAAATTTGTCATATTATCAAAGTAGTTACTATCATCTTTCCAATGCAATTTACAGCTTGGGAATTGATGAATTTTTGGCCTACAAGAGCTTCTCAAAGTTTGTAGTTTTCATTTTGATTCAACTTCAGGAAAAAAAATCGAATTATTAATGGACCCTACTGTACAAAAAATAACAATTAAACTTTAATTCAAGCAGCAACATTTCAAGGTAGAACAACCAATCATATTATTTTTATGTATTTTTAAGCAGTACAACTCAATTTAGAAATGCAACATTCACCTACAAAAAAACACTCTTAATTGCATTAATTATTACAGTTTCTTAGTTTTATTTGATGTTCATCTATACTATCAAAGTGCCATATCAATGTCCATTTTGTTTGTAATTCTATTTTTGTACAAAACTCGTTATAGTTTAATTCATTTCATTAAACTTTTTTCAGTGTAAACTAAAATTAAACACATTTCACCTCAAAATATGTTTTTTTAGTTATTTTGTGATATTATTAATAAAAAAAAAGTGAAAACCTGCATTGACTAACGAATGAAATTCTCTTTTATACTTGACTTTATTGTCATATTGATTGTTACCAATTAAATTTAGTATAGTGATGATTAGTTGTTTCCTCCAAACAAAAATAACACAATAGAAATACATAGCCAAATCAGAAAGCATTTTCCAATCAAATTACTAAATCATTTAATAACCCTACAAAAGATAAATACAAATATATATATATATATATATATATATACACACATCTGTCATTTGATGATTACATTCAAGATTCAAGACGTTCCACATATGATCAAATGGCTGGATACCAAAGCGCACACTGCATTGCTTTGCTTTGCAGAGGAGCTTCCAAAACCTTATTAAACGTAATGTTTGGGCGTCACACAACGCTATTGAGGGACAATTACCGAACTGTTCCAATCAGGCAGTTTGGACTGATCCTTCAAAACCTCAATGCATAATTTGCCGGGAAGTTTACATTGATCCTTGATAATGCATAATTTACCCCTCAGACTGGAGTAGGCGTTTTTACTTGCTCAATCACTTACAAGAAACAACTCAAAAGCACCTCTCAAATAAGAACAATTATGAGAAAACGAATTTTCACCTATATTTGCTCGAAATATCGTGCTTTCTCCCAGTCTGTCACTGCTTGTTGATAAGCGAGAAGCTCATTGTCAAAGAAGTGGTGGTAGTGGTGATGGACGTCTTCCCCCAGCATTTCCTTTGCAAACTTACTGTCCTTGAAAGCTGCTGTCGCCGCTCCCTATGCACACAAATACGCCACAGTGATATTCAAGAGAATAAGCATGAGCGAATGCCATCTGCTGTAAGGCATCAAAAATGTTGGAACTATATAAGATTAAACATCCTGGTCTTATAATTTTGTTTAGCAATTAAGTGAGACTTTTCAGTAGGGATCAGCACCAGTGATTGAGGAATAGTCAAGAGATCCTTGGCGAAATAGACGTTGCCCTCTAGTTGGGGTGGCGGCTCGATCTTGTTGCGAATACCATCCATTCCAGAGGCAAGCGCTGCAGCAAATGCAAGGTACACGTTGCAGTCGGCACCCGGCAACCGACACTCTATACGCAATGACTTTCCTGACCCAAGGACTCGAAAGGGCGCAGTTCGGTTATCTCGGCTCCTGTTCCAGAGAATTACACAGACCAAGTATATCCTTAGATCAATGCAAGCGACAGCAGGTCAATGGAATATCCCGTTCATTCAAGACGAGTTTGAACTCCATTGCGGTTCTCGATGAGACAGTAGTCACAAGAGTTCGACAACTTGCAGCCAGGACATTATTATATAGTTAGTATAGATAGGTGGAAAATGTACCATGCTATTTGCGTAGGAGCCCAGCTTCCTGAAACATAGCGCTTGTATGAATTTACGTTAGGCGCATAGAAGCACATAAGTTCTGGGGTGTAATGCATCCATCCGCCCAGAAACCATCGGAATTCATCACTGCAGGTCAACCACAGCTTTCTTCATGATGAGGGATAAATTAATAAAGAAAGAAAGAAATCAGGAGTAGAAAGATTTTTTGAGAAATATATTTTTCCTTTGACTATTTATCAGCTCCATACACGTATTGATGGAATATAATCACAAACCTGCATTTTGTAGAGCCGAGAGTTTGATTTCCAGCAAAAATGTTACGTCCATTCTCCCAAAGGCTAAGATGAATGTGGCAGCTAGAGCCTGGTTGTGCGGCATCTGGCTTTGCCATAAATGTGACTGAAACACCCATAGAATCTGCAAGCTCCTTCAAACACTGCAAATACAAAAAAGGAAGCCGAGCCACTTTTTAGTCTCATTGCACTACGTTCAAGTCTCTCTGAAACGTAGGAGCTAGGTTCATTTATGATAACGCTCTTCATCACGGTAACAATCTTAACTCCATAAACAGAAAATATGCTCTACACATTGATGGATTTACTTGTGCGAAAACATACTTTCAAATTGAATTCCGAACTGGAGTAGAGTATAGACCTGCTTGTATACACTATGCCGATCAGCCATTTCTAGGACTTCCGCATATTTCACATTCAGCTCATGTTGTCCAAGTCCAAACTCTCCTTTACTGTAAACACGCAACACCAATGAAAACCATTGAAAGAACACTCAGCAGTATTCGTAATTAGAGTGCTGTCGCACATTCAACACTCAATCCAGTTTTGCAGCGTTCTCATGCGCTTTCAACAGAATCAAAGAAGACTTCTGGAGTGAATCGACACATCGACTGATTGTATTATGTGAGGAGGAAGAATTGAGCTGATCAAGAAATCCACTTTCCGCATAGCCTCCCGCACACCCCCCCCCCCCCCTTTTTTTGAATTCTTTCAAAATGAAGTTACAGCGAGTCCAGAATCCCATCAGTGTATGGTTCTGATGAAGTTTTGTAGTAGTATCCTCATGAACTTCATCAGAACCATCAGTCGCACGAATCTGTGTTGGAATAGCAAAAATATCTGATACTTACGAACTGCAATTACTATTGCTTCGAAACAATACACATTTTAAAAGCTGTAAACTTTTGACATTGGAGGTGGTATCAACTACAATTGCGTGCCATGCTAAAGAATGATTTTTTACTACAAGCTACGATAATCCATCCGCACTTTTTGGTGCCTCGAAATTTTTGGAATGAAAATTGGCATACAAGACAAGAATTCGATGTCACTACTAAAAGATCCACAGGAATAAAAGTGGTGGTTACCTATTTTCAACTGGAACTCCAGAAGCTTCCAGGTGGCGTCGGGCTGGGCCTATTTAACGCTTACCAGCAAGAGTTAGAGATGCGGAGACCAATTCAATCATCAAGTTACATGATGTACGAGCAGGAACTTGAACAATTTGAATCAAGGATGGTATTCAGTCTGGCTTGCATACCATGGAAGTATTCACCACGAGTTCCCTGAAAAATATGATAGTCCTCCCGCACCCAACCAGCTGGCTTAAGGTTATGATAGCCCCTATTCTGCACAAAGGATAACAGAAAAGCATAAACTGCTCGTAAGAGGACAATGTTAAACCAAAGAATCTCTGAAAATAAAATCAGATCAGGAATTGATCTATCTTCACTGGAGACCGCACATAACATAAGAAAGCACCTTCGATTCTTCATATGTGTCCTTATAAAGGAAATACTCGAGCTCTGAAGCAGCCATCGGAGTAAACTTGCCCACTGCTTGTGCAGCCTTTATTTGGTTGCGAAGAATGGAGCGTGGTGCATGAGGAGCTAGTTCATGGTCGTCCTGAACTACGTCGCATAACACCAAGGCGGTCTTTTCTAGCCTGCAGGTGAATTTCAAGAACGAAAGCGTATTCAATAACGGTTCGTACAATTACAATAAATCCAGAGGATATTTGTAGCAACATTACAGGAAACTATTAGAGGGTTTTTGTCTACATGCTTATCAACCACATGCAAAGAAAAAACAAAATAACTAAACCATAAAAATTTGAGTGCGTAAGGCACCAGCTTGCCACCCTCAGCGTCTTCATGTCAGGAACTAGATGGATGTCGCCATAGCCAGCCTCCCAACTAGCAAACTTATACCCTGGAACTGGCTCCATGTCCATATCAGTCGCGAGCAGATAAGAGCAAGCATGCGTTCCGTCATCCACTGCACTTTCCAAGAAAAAATCTGCTGTGTACCTGCAAGCAAAGCAAAAGATAAATCTTATTTTTCACTAAAACTGTCTCAACGCCGCTCAGATCTCCTCCACTCGCTGATTACAATAAGCATCACCAGGTAACGAAGCCAAATATAGAGGAGCAAAGCGAATTGTGAGTGCAGCACACCTCTTCCCGACTAAACGGCCATAGCAGTCTGTTAGCCCAACTACGACGGTGTCGATGGTTTTCGTACGAGCAAGCTCTTTCAGTTCAGCGACTGTGATCATTCCCGTTACAGTGGACGATTTCTCCGAAGGCAACTCCGGCATTGTGCACATGTGCCTAGACGGTGTACTCCTCTCCATTTTATCCAGCCTGACTACTCCATTCTCCAGTCTGCAACTTTACCATAAGCATGAAAACCCGCCAGCGAAGCCACATGACAAGTTAACAAGTGGGCCAGGGTTGAAGCAAACTCCACACTAAACAGTGTGCACAACAAAATTGAAGCATGAAGAAAACCAGTGCAGTGCGTGTACGAAGGAACGTAAGTAATTGTTTCGACGTCGTTGGCATGATTGAAAGACAGAAAGAATCGAACAAGAAATTAATGTAAGAAGCAAGTACAATCCATGTTACATACATTGCTAGAGAAGCGATCACGCTGTAGTTAAAATGCCGCCCTCACAAGTCGAGGTATTTACGGATAAGCGCTTCAAGATGTGCGTAATAATGATGATGATAACAACAACAATGATAATATAGCGAGATTTCTTCAGATTTTTTAAGGTGACTCTTGATTGTGACTATCAAAGATGAGAAGATTCAGTACAACATGCTGCAGAAATATATTTAACAACACAGAGCTTGGAGCAATAGCCTCGATGTTAGTAGCAATCAGGAAATTCATTGAAAGACCTGGAGTTTCTTGAATGTCCATGGACAGGCGGTTGTAGATCCTGGTGATGGACTGCACTTCCGGTGAGATCTCGGGAAGCCGAGGTCGCCGACCGGGCGGTGAACTTCGCTCTCCCTCCTAGCAATCTCCGAGCAGCTGCTCTAGCGAATGCCATAGCTGCCAAACCTCACAGGTTGCCAAAATCTCACAAATCTCCCAAAACGTCTATTCTTAAACCACAAGTCACGGTTGATGCTCTACTAATCCCCACTGTGATTTTACTATTTCACACGAATCGTGGTACAATCACTGATCCAACACAAGCTCAACATCATTCAAGAGGAATCAATTTAGAAATCCACTGCAATCCTCCTTCTAACTACAACAAATCCTCATGAACACAACCTCGGCTTACTGCATTATTACATGAACCACAAACCACAGCCGCAACACAACACAAGATGAACTCAATTCAGCGCCAATCTGTCCAACTCCACACCCTACGCCATCTCACTCCCTCGAACAACCTTGCCCTCAATTCACAGCCATTTCATGTCAAATCACGCATCGACTTACTTGTGATGCACAAACCCCACCACCACCCGAGAAAACGAGTTCCTCAATACTTCCAGTGATCATCAACACGCCATCGCTGCCTAGGCCGGCTCCCACTTACTGCCAGCCAAAACTCCAGAATCTCACAAGGATACCGTAAAAACTGTGTCAGAGCACGAACTATTCAATTCGATGTGAGAATCTGCGGGAATGGGGTTGTCGATTATCGCTCGCATCGGGTAGAGAGTCCGAGTTGGGCCCAAGCCATCAAGTGGCGAGCGTGACGATGGTGTGTGATCTGCTGACTTGGAGGTAAAGAGGGGCCGCTAAATTTAGCGGCAGGCTTTTTCCTCGTGAAGCATCACGCTTGTCACTCTGACGTTGTGTCTGAGTCTGCCAACAGCGTGGGGAACCACCTCTGGGAACGAAAGGAAACCGGGTTCTCATGCCACCCCTGGGGAGCGCTGCCGTTCTCTTTCACTGAATCCGCATTCTCTACGCGGAGTATATTTTAGAATATTCTCTAATTATGCTTGGTTTGGATGAAAAGGTTCGATAGAAAGCTAAAGTAAAGCTGGGGGCGAGAAAGGAAAAGGTGTACTTAGAAAGCCGTGTCTACAGTGTTCTGTCCTTAAATTGGTATTAATTCAAAAGATATTCAATGTGCATTCTTCAAAAACTACATTATGTTGCATGTATTGGGAATGTCTTAAAAAATTCTTAAGGTTTTCATGTGTTTATTTAGGTATAGAGGTCAACGAGGTCTGATCCATTGACAATGTTAATCTAAAAAATGGTTTACATTAACATGACAAACTTGCATCAGAATGTTGTGATTGAGATTCTAAATTCTTATTTAAACAGAATACGTAGACTAGATGGTAAGAGATGATTAGCTTGCATGAAAAAGAAAGAAAAAGAAAAAAGGATTATGACATGATTATCCAAATAGATATGTACAATGTATAAGTTTAGGAAATTGATATACAACCACTTGATGAAGCTTTGATAACATTCGAGCCACAAATAAGATGTGATAAAAATGATAAAAGAGTTACAACAATTAAATGACTACATCTAACACATCCTAAATTAGAAATTTCTAATTGATTATACTTGTAGTTATTTTAAGCTTTTAGTAAAAATAAGTGTGCATGAAATAATTAGAAATTTACATACAAATAAGACAAAAATTATATACTTGCAAAATCATGCCATTTTGTATTTTGTTGGACAAAAATCCCCTTATCTACATAGTTTGCCATATAGTTGAATAAATTACAAAAAAGTTGATGAATAATTAATATTATAAAATATTAATAGAAGATGTTTTTATTTAAAATCATTACATAAAGAGAAATTTTAAAAAACTTTTATTCTATCATTACATAAAACAACTAATAGCATTTTCAGTTTTAGGCTTTGAGATCCGAATTTTGACTCTAAAGCAATGTAAGACACAAGCTTTTTATGCTACAGAAAAGCACTCAAGATACCAACAAAAACAAATTAGGTCTATCAAACGTGTTCTAAATAATTGCTTTATAAGTGACAATAAATGTAAGAGAAATTATTCACACTAGTGTTAAAAATTACATAGTTTAAGAGCCACACTTTTTTAGTGGTGGCACAATTTAACAATAGATAGAAGTTAAAAGTAATTATAACTAATCAAATAAGTTAAAAGTAATTATAACTAATCAAATAATTTAAAAGTAATTCTATCTAATCAAATAAGTTAAAAATAATTATTTTGGAGAGGTTGTGGTTATCTTTAAATTTACTATATATTGATTTTAGTAAATGATTATGTTATAGTAAGTAATTTTATATTAATATATATATATATATATATATATATGATTTGACCACAAGCTAAAAGGTTTAGGACATAAAATAGATAATCTTATAGAAACTTAGATAGTAATTGTGAGATAATAAGATTAATGAATTATTTAGTAACTATAATTAAAATTGTAAGTAAAGAAAGTAACAACGTAATTTTGAAAGTAAGACACTATAAGACGAAATAAAATAAAATAAAATAAAATAATAAATAAAAACTTAGATTAATGAATAAAGTATTAGAAGAAAATCTTCACAACAAAGGTAACAATTTAGTATTTCATTTAGACCAACCAAGCATTCAAATCAAGGTATATACAAACATTTTATTATTAATAAAGACCAGTAAAAAGAATAGAAATGTAACCAATAACAAACATGATATTATGTTGGATCAACAAATTCCTAAAAGATTTTGAAATAATCTATTAAAACCAAGAGAAGAGCAAATAAATTTAAACGATTTTTTTTTCAAAGAAAATAATTAAAAAAAAACACATACTTTATAATAATTAAGATTTCATTAGACTTGAAATGGATGTATTCTTGAATAATACCTAAAAAAATATATGTCAAAGAAAATATTTTGTAGATAGGTTTATGATAAAAATAAATAATAAAAAAAAGTTTAGATTTGCATTACATTAAAAAAAATAAAAATAAAAACAAAATAAGACATAAATTTTAAAATTATACAAAAATGGAGACAAGTGCATTAAATTAGTTGATATATTTGGTTCTAAAAACCATAATGTAGAATAATGCAACCAAATGTCCAAGCCTACAATTGATTTCTTTTTTAACTCAAGTGAACATACTATGTATTGTTATAATTAAATTAGTTATGTTTGGACAAAATGATATACTACCATGAGAACCAATAAGGTTTCATAGCTAGCATCATAACTCAAGAAGAAAATTGCAATAAATAAAATAAAATAAAATAAATAAATAAATAACAGCAATAGAGCTCAATGTGCATCGAATAAAGAATACAAAAGATACCAGTGAAAGAAAAACCGAAATGCAATAATAAAATGTAAGTAATATGGAATAAATTCTACATCAACTAGAAAGACAAAAGAATTTTATTATGTTTAATTTAAAATAAATTGATGAAAAAAATTGAAAAAATTGAAAAAAAAAAAAAAAAAAAAAAAAAAAACCCACAACACAACAACAATTGTATGAACATCCTAATCTCAATGGCTAGCATACAAAAACAATTTTAAGCCTCAACCTCTCCAAAGAAAAAATACATAAGAAAGCAAAAAATTATACTGTAGAAGATCTAATAAAGAATCCCAACTAGGGTGTTTTATTTTGAAGAAGTAAATAAAAAAAATATATAAACCTAATAATTTAAATTGCAATCAAACTAAGTACAGTGTCTTTTAACATAAAGCCTATTAGCTAAATATTTAAATATATATATATATATATATATACAAAAGATACTACAATATAGATTATAAATTTGCAAAGAAATAGATAAGTATATGCCAAAACAACAAGAAGTAGAAGAAAAAAACTAAAATAGAAAAAAAAGTGCTGCTCTAGTATCTAAAAACTAATTTTAATATTATATATAAATCTAATCCAAGATGCTTTCGCTACTCAAAATGAAATATCCATATGGAAACAAAAAAAACTTATAATACATCTTTGTAAGAAGAAGGCTTCTTAGACATGATGAAGTCAAGTCAAAGTGTTAGAAAATTGTATAGCTACGAGAAAGGTATTCAATATGAGCTTGCTTTATTTTAAAGAACTTTTCCAAATTTTTTTCAGTATTTGTTTGATAATAATTTGAATGGTACTTAAATTTTAATTCAAAATGAGATTTTCTATGACTGAAAGAAGAAAAAAATATATCTTTATCATTACTTGTTACAAATACATATGTAATAATATATATACAAATAAAATAAATATTTAGAAGTAAATATAATTATGTCAAAAATATGTTTAGTTTATAATACATTTCTCAAGAAATATAAAATAATTTTTCTTAAATTTATACAGATCTTTAGATTCTTCTAGATATATCATTTAACTATTAAAACTTGTTCTACAAGTCTTGTGGTTCTTAAAAAGCTTTAATAAGGCTTTCTTGGTAGCTAATATATATGGTAAAAATATTGAGTCCATTCTCAATCTTATCAACATATTTATTATGTTCTAGTCTTGATTAAAGACTTTCTAGTTTCTTTATATTTAGAAATAGCCATTTTAATTTTTAATTTTTATCTTACGCATATTTCTTCTTTGGTTATTTTCTATCTTCATAGTAAAATATAATGTATTGTTTATTTAAGGTTTTTCTAAAGATTAATGTCTTTAATATCACTACCTACATAATCTTTTAAAATGGATGAGAAATAAGTGAATAAGAAAGCAATCGCATTTTTTTTAAAATAACATTGTAGAGATTTACATTCTTTTCTCATCTATTCTAAAAAAGTTTTAAATAATACATATTATTATTAAATACTAGAATTTTATTTAAAATTATGAAATTATAAAAATATTTTAAAAATATTCCACTCAATTGTATGTTGAGAATGGACTCAATAATAAAATAATCAATCTATTATGTTGAGAATGGACTCAATAATAAAATAATCAATCTATTATGTTGAGAATGGATTCAATAATAAAATAATCAATCTATTATGTTGAGAATGAATTCAATAATAAAATAATCAATAGATTGATTATTGAGTCCATTCTCAATCTAATCTATTATTGATTTATGAACATGAGCATTACAATGTTATGCTTAAGAATTATGATAGTTTTTGCAAATCAAAGTAATATTTTATATTTAAAAGAAACCTTAAGTTATTGTGTAGATCCAAATAGAACCAATACAAGTAAAGTATGATTTTTTTTTTTTTTTTTTTTTTTTTCCTAACACCAAACATCTAATTTTTAATGTGAAATCACTTTTAGATAGTAGAATTAAAAAAATGTACATTAAATATTATGAAATTAAACTTAATTTATGAAATAAATTATTAAATTCATTAATTTAATAATTTTAAAATATATAATATAAAATTTTTACAATTTAAAAGATGAAATTCCAGTTATAGTAAATTTCAAAAAAGTTAAAATAAATTATTTAAATTTATTAAAATAAGGCTTTAAATAAAATGTTATTTTATTCTAAGTAATCATCTTAAGTGCTTACAGGAATAGAATCAGGACTCGAATAAGACTTCATAGAATACTTATTGGTAATATAAAATATTCAAAGCTATTTTTTATTATATTAAATAAAAACGTAATTCTATTACATCAAATATTTATTAAATTTTAAATCCAAACTTGTAATATTTTCTATAATTTAAAGAAGCTATACAAAATATTCCCATTTTGTAACAAAAAACTCTTTGATTGAAAGAAGAAAGTACTTAACATATATTATATATAAAATTTATAGATGTTTCAAGTACTATTATAAAAAAAAATCAAAGGCTAACATGCCAAAAAAGTTTGATGGAATAAGGTCCAATTTCTAAGGTTTTGTGCAATTAGTACAACTCTACTTATACTTACATTCTTCTTGTTATCTTAACATATTTACTTCAGTTAATTTATTAGGAACTTTTTTTTATTGAAAAGTGCTTGTTCAAGGTATTTTCTATTATCAGAAAACTAATATTGTTCAACCTAAATGTTGCTACAGAGAGATTTATTGCTGCATTTGGAGATAGTGATTAAAATAGAGGGGCAAAACTGAAAATACACTGAAAACTGAAGTTTAGTTGCAATTTATTCTACAAAACTTCATCAACTTATATGTGACCTTGATTGGAAGAGTAATGTATTTATGATTTGGTTTTGATACGGATTAAGAGATATTGTAATCTTTGTGTTCAAGGACTGGAAATGAGAGTTGATGAGTAATGTAAGAACACCATCAAAATCGATTGTATCTTTTGGGATCTTAATTCAAGGTACAAGGTGTAGCCATACTACATGCATGGGCGTGTATGCAAATACATGCATCCAAAGAAAGATACACACCTACATACAAGGACTGTGAATGGATGTCCTTTCAAGCAATTTTGGAATAATAATCTTAAAATTATTTATGTACATTTTTGAAAATACACATGTACTTACTTCATTGATAATAGTGGCTTATAATCTCTCACTAATTGCAATCACAGGATTCAAAAGGATGTCAATTTGATTGTATAACAGAAGTGTAAATAAGTTTCATGTGACATTATTTTAAGTAATATTTGTAAATTTGAGTGAACATACAAGTGGCTTTAATATAGAGGTTGAAAGTTATCATGTCAACATTTGATCGAAATACATTCGAAGAGTTCGTGGTAACAAGACATTTATCTAAATTGCATCTGTTCTGACGTGTAACATGCTGAACAGGAGTTTCTCTACAGAATTGATGGGCTCTAAGACTCACACCATGGTGACCACCTTCATCAAGCGATTTCTGATATTTCTTAGTAGAAAGGGGCAAAACCAAAGCATGACTCAGTTGCACATTGATAAGGCCAAACAGAGCTGCCGCTACCTGCTAACATTAGAGAACGAAATATCACTGGTGCACAAGATAAGTGCCAAGAGATTTTGGAGCGAAAGTGGGGTCAAATAAGCAAAACCTGAGCTCTTCACTTGCGTTTCGTGTCATCCGTGGGAGGCCACCAAGATACTCGCATCACATCAGGGTTTGTGTGAGATCCACGGACAGCACTTAGCCGCACAACGACTGTTGTTTAGATAAATAAGAAGATGTGTATCCTACAAAATTTAAAACTGGCTAATCATTTCAGTGCCAGACAGAATTAACTGAAAGGGAGCTTCCATACGAAAGCAGCCACAAAGTTGTCGTTGAAAGTCATTGAATTTGGAGTGTTCTGAGGAGGTTCATGAATCATCGAAAGATACTGCTCACGGAGCAGTCGTCATGGACACGCCATATCGTTTCTCCCAAGAGATTGGCAACCGACAACACAGTTAGCTGGGGAAAGTAATTTTGCTCCTTCACCGGAATAGTGTTCGTGATGATCACCTCCTGGAAAAGTCCCCCAGATAGTCGTTCAATTGCAGGTGGACTGCGAAAAAAGACAACTGCATTAGAGACATCGCATTGGATCGTGGAAAATAAACTACTTCCCATATCAGAAAGAGCTTGTCGTCACACCTTACAGTTATACAGGGACAGCGGCTACTAAATATATGGTGACAGTTCTTGTATTGACCTGAAATTTAAAATTTTGAAAAATAATAATAATAATCTAAAAACTAACCTGAAAACTGCATGTGTGCAGCAAGCATACACCTCTCGAGCTCCTTCAGCATGTAGAAGTGCTGCACTGTTTGTGATAGTGCCTGCGAAGGATGTAAAGTTATTAATAGCAAGAAAATTCGGTTGATTGATATACTTCAGCAAGTGTTCAAAACCAGAATAAATTAAATGATTAGATTCTCATGGTAAGACGAGTTCATACCGGCAGTGTCTATCATGTCGTCCACCATGACAGCCACTTTTCCTTTGACGTCTCCAATCAAATTCATGACCTGTACATCATCCATACTCAGGGCTGCGAATAGTCGTCCATGTCAACTGAGTTCATTCCAGTTTCATCTATCCTCAAAGATATGTCAGCGTATTATCTCGCGAACACAACTCTTAGCACTAACATAGAAATGCTACGTGATATATTCACAACCGGATGACTGGATCAAGATGACATTTCAACATTGTCAATTCAAAAGACGCAAGGGCATACCTCAGAAATGTTATGGCCCTGCCGCCTCTTGTCTACGATAGCCAAAGGGGCATCTGACAACTTTTTAGCAAAAGCCCTCGCTCGAGCAACTCCTCCCACATCAGGGGATACTACAACCAAGTCATCTGATGAAATCATCTTGCTCGCCAGATAGTCCAGGATCACAGGCTGGACAAAGAAGTGTGAAAAATTAATCACAAATCACTCTTAGAGCTGAAAGGATGGAATCCACTCTTAATACTTGCGAAATTCGCAAAACTCTCCACATAAATGGATTAAGTAACGTTTACTGTGCTTGGAAGATACCATCAAGAAGCTAGCTAAGAGCAGCCGCAATGGAATTGTGAAACATGTCTACAACGAATTAGGCTTCATAACTTTCAGGTAATTCAGATAGATAACTTACTTGGCCATAAACATGGTCAACGGGAATATCAAAGTAGCCCATCGACTGGCCAGAGTGCAGGTCACAAGTGAGCACACGGTTTGCCCCAGCTTCAGTAATTAAATTAGCAGCCAGTTTAGCTGCAATCGATTCTCGGCCTTGCGTCTATCAAAACAAGTTCAAAGCATGTATATCAGCACAATAATCGGAGATTAGTATCAATGACTTGCAATCTGACTAAGGAGACATTCCGGCCCAGCCAAAACGTTTACAAAATGCGTAACATAAAACCTATCGATCAGGTCTCCTAACCTTCCGATCAGCTCTAGCATAACCAAAGTATGGTATGACAGCGGTGATAGTTTTTGCTGATGCTCGTCGGCATGCATCAATCATAATTAAAAGCTCCATCAAATTTTCATTAGCTGGCGGACACGTCGGTTGCACCAAGAACACATCACAACCACGGACGCTCTCTTGGAGTTGCACATATATTTCTCCATCCGCAAACCGCTTGATCTTGATCTTGCCCAAATCAAGACCCATATAACAAGCGATTTCCTGCAGATCCAAGAGGTCAAAAATATACAGCAATAGAACTATGCATCGGAAAATGCTGCACATGGGACCATAATGTGTTTGCAATCATGACCTAGAACAGCCAGAGCACTTTCACTGTAGCAGGAGTTTACAAAAACACAGGACATTGCGGTGCACCCGACGCATTGGACTCACGTGCGACTTCAACGTTCTCATCAAATTACAATTAGACCTCACAATGAGATAACCCTACTGGCCTTACGCTAACAAAGTTATGCATTTCGTCATGAGATCGTATACCTGCGAAAGCTGCAGGTTGGCGGTGCCAGAAAAGATCTTCAACCGGCTACTGTTGTGTCGCAATTCAGGCACAGACAGGTCAGTTAAAGGTCTGGACCCGAACGATATATTGTTCCAGTTGTCCTGGTGCATAGGCGGAACAACAGTGCGCCCCTTGGAAGAAACCGATGAGTTGTTCGAAGAGTTCGAAATGACACATTTCTGTTACAATAAAACCCCATCTAAGTTAGCTGAAACAACTAATCACGAACATGTTGAAAGAGGATAAGAACACTAGTAAGTACAACAAACGAGGTCCAGAAACTCGTCTCATTTCCTTTCCATCAGAACACAACTGGTTTTCAGCGTAAAAAATATCACAGACGATTGCTCAAACAATCAGATCTCAAAGGACGTCATTCTAATTGTTTGATGGGTATTTCCACTGTAACTACCGCGCAATTCTTGGTTCCTTATGAAGCTGCCAATATACAAGACTTTCGAAAAGACAAGTAAAGGGAAACTCGCAGAAAGCTTGCGGTCAGACGAAAGTGTGTCAAGAAATGTACGACAAAATCGAGGGTCAAGAAGCTCGACGTTGAAAACGCAAGCCACTAGAGAGAGAGAGAGAGAGAGAGAGAGAGAGAGAGACCACGAAACTACAAAAGAGACAGAGAGATGACACTGAGAAAAGAAAACTTCCATTCGTTCAGAAGGCTCTAAAATGAAAGCTCAAGTGCATGAATCAGAAGAAAAAGAAGAGCACAAGCAACCATAAATTAGTGTCCTTCCTTATGCATTGCGATTTGTTTTCACCGTAATGCCACAGGGTGACATCATCTGCATTTTTCACACACTTTCTGCGAAAAGTATGCGTTCGATTACGAAATATGCTTTACTCCATCTTCCTTCATGTGAAGTTGGAAATAACAGTAAATTGGAAAGGGGTCAAATTCAACTAACAAGAACCTCAAATTCAACTAACGAGGACCTGAAGAAGAACCAGAATGACTTCTGCTGCAAAGTGTGAGGACGAACAAAGGGAAATCACCCGAAATAGCACTACAACATCTACCGGTAAAATACGAATTTCACGCCATAGAAAGTACACAGGGATATTTCAACCACAAAGACCAAACCAAGAAGCCTACCAAATGAAAAAGCGCCTGGCACCGAAGAAACCACTAGGACTGGGCCACTGAATCGCACCAGCCACACAATGACAACCAATATTTTCAACAACACAAGAAAAACTTCACGAAAAGCAGCAAAATCAGTGGCGCGCGCGAGTGAACCCTAAAATCCATAACGATTCCCGCTGTCGTCTCGCTGTCTCCACACAAAAATCACTAGAAACGAAAGCGCCGCAGGAGCAAACATCACAACTCGAAGCGCCACTCCCACACCGTCCAAACACACACCAATGCAATCAAAGATGGAAAATTCAGCTGTGGAAACATACACAAACCGGCTGTGAGAGTGTCTTGTGCGAGAACCGCAAGGAGCCGCCAGCGCTGCCGCACCGCAGTGTCTCGCCGAACACAGTCGAGCTTCCCATGCCAAGAGTGGAGTGTGCCTGATCCGTCGCAGACGCACCAAAAGCGCTTCCTACGCACACAGCACTCATGGACGCGACCGCCATCGCTGCCTGCCCTGCCGCGACTCCAAACCAATGAAACGATCAAATCACAGAAAGAGGACGAAGAAGGGACATACACCACCACAACAGAGTGTGCACTGCGAGAGCACCGGAAGTCCACTAATCCCTGCCCCCGCCCCGCCTCGCCCTGCCGAAGCTGAAGCCGACGAGAGGCCCCCGCTCACTCCCGGCGACCGTTCCTACCCTTCCCCTCGACGGTTCTGTCTTGTCTGGAACATAGGGGGGACAGTTCCGCATGCAATTGCACAAAATGGAATCTCTCGTGCGAAGAATCCGACACGTGGCCGCCGAATTGGGCTTCGACCTGAAGATGGAGATTAGTGGCTGATTCCGTTGTTAACATGGTCATATGTTTTGTAAATTTTATAAGCTCCCTCTACTACACACAAGAAAAGAGTACGTGAACATGAATGATGAAGAACCCTGCTGTGAGAAGATATGAAGGAGCAAGTTCCCCAGTTGTTCCCACTAAGATACTGGAGGCCACATGATTCCCTGGAACTGGCGAGCGACTTCTTGTGGTGACAGCTAAAAAAGCATATTCTGACAGAATATGGCTGGTGTACGGGTCATGGAAAATTCCGCCCCTGGTGGTAGTTCCATGTGGAACCCGCAACTGCCGATTCCACCAACTAACTTCCCTTGCTTTTTAGCCACCTGACTAGGTGCAGATTCCACCAGGAAACGTCAGCCCTAGAGTGCATCGACGGAACCCCCTGTTGAAGGGTTCCAACCAGAATCATTCCCATCAGCCTCCAAAGTCTGGAATATTCTGTCCTTTGACGGATGCATACTTTGCTTATTCATCCGTTTGATAAGGGCTTTGCCTTAAAGCCACTTATATTCATTCATTCATTCAGTCATTCATATTCAGATCCTTAATACTGTAACTCAACAATTATTATCAATGTACAAAAATAACTTGTAAATTCAAGATGAACGAGGACTCAAGAGGAGAAATGCCAAGATTAAATACATCCTTTTCTCTTATCTATCTACACTATTTTCAAAACTTATGGTCGAAGCCTCAAATATGTTGTTTAAAGATGATTTTCAAACAACCCATAATGTAATCATAGATGAATCACTAAACCACGTTCTCCAAGAAACCTCCACACCATAACTAAAAAAGCTTTTTTAAGAAAATAAATGACCGTGGAATTAAGTGGGGTTTTCGACAAAATATACACACACTGAATTAAGCAAGGGCACCGTGGAATACTCTGGTATATATCTTTGTTTTTTAAATTACAAAATGGCTACCGGGTGGAGCCGGTAAGAAGGGAAGACGGGGTGGCGGCCCTTTCGAGGCGGCCTCGTTTGACGGCCCTTTTCCATCGCACCACTGCGCTCTTTACAAACACATGCGTGTTCACAACACGGACAAGTCTTGTGGTGCGTTTGGAGGATTTCAAGCGGACCACGATGGCGTTGTACACATTCACAACCAAAGCATTTTTTACCTTCACCACGCGCAGGAGACGGATGCAAAACAACGACAGGACGACGGCGCAGACCACGCACCGATGCCCGTCGTCAGGACCGTGAGGGACTTATACTTCCAGCGATCTTTCGGCACGATGGACAGCGCAGCGCAGAAAAACGCCGCAATGAGGAATACGATGGATATGAAGAGCACAACTACGGCCGCTTGCACGCTCTTCTTCGCGACGTGGATTTCGCGGAGGATACCCTCGTGGGCGACGGGCAAGTAAGGGATTAGAATGAGGATGATCGACGTCATGGATAAATAGAACGTCAAGTTGTCGCAGAAGAAGAACGCCTCGACGGTGGGGTGGGAGAACTGGCCGTAGCCATTCAGCCAATCTGGGTGAACGTCTTGGGTGAACCCGAGCGGTGGCCGCAAGGGCCCCGCGAACGAGGTGGTGGCGACCAGCGCTGCGGTGATAGACACTGCGTTCGCTGTGGCGAAAATGTTTTGCAATTGCTCTTGGGTTTGCTTCGTGAACTTCTCATACCACCATTGCCGCACTGGCTCTGGAGTTCTCCCACTCAATTCCGGGGCACACCCATCCACGTTCTGCTGGTTCATGTCGAGCCCCGCTTGCAGTAGCAGCTCCATGCATCCGATTACTTCGAACGAGGGTTTCGTTCTGTGCGGCGGTTTGTGGCGAAAATGGTGCATGCTCACATAATCCACGGGCGTGAGGCAACGCATCTCGTGGAATTCGTCGTCGAAGGCCCTGGCGGCGTAATGCAAGGCGGTGTTGCCCTGCTGATCCACCGCGAACGGGTCGATTCTGTCGCTGGCTAGCAACATCTGTACCGCTGCAGGGTGCCCACCCGCCGCCGCTAAATGCAGCGCCGGTATCTGGGACTGTATAGCTCCCATCCCTTTCTCACACCCGACCACGCACTTGTCTGCCAAGTCACTTTCCTATAAATTATCATCCATATCTGTTTATTTTTTTATTTAGTTTCTTTAAAAATATGCTGTAATATTGTACTTTCAAATTTTATAAAAGAATATTACAAAATATGTTAGAAAAAAATGAGAAGGATTGTCAATGTGATTAAAGAAATAACATTTACCTTCAATAGTAATTGGATGATTTGGGTATAGCCCTTAAATGCCGCTAATTGGAATGGAGTGAATTTGAAAGAGTATTGGACATGTTCACACATTCTATTTAAATCAAGTTTAGAAGTGCTTGATTTATAAAACTTAATATGTTGTTGGACTTTGAGGGCATGTAGCATTACTTCAACAACATGGTGGTGATTGTGAAACACCGCAATATGAAGTGGCGTAACACTCATGGATGCATGTAATTTCACAACACTTCTATGTCTTGGGACCTCATGGCCTTTAGCTAGACTACCAATATTCAAATTTTTTTTTGAATTTTCGGCAAGTACTTTAATGGCAACATGGTTACCAATTGAAGCCGCACGGAAGAACAAGGTTCTACTTGCAACATCTCCTATATTGAAGTCCAATACATTTGGGCAATGGAAATCTATAATCTCAAGAATGGTTTTAATTTGATAGTCTTTGACATCAAAGTTGTCAATTAAAACATGTAAAGGGGTTCTACCACTATTATCCCAAAGACATAATATATATTGTAAAAAATCGGATTTTAAGCACTTGCAAATATCTTTAAAAAGATGCATCCCTTCATCACTTATAAGTAGACTTCCAAATAATTGATGTAAAACGTATTCATTCCCCCACATTTTAGATTGTTGGTTTCTTAATTCATTATCGTTGGCTATTAAATGACATTGTGCTTGAAGGACCTTGAATTGTAGTCTTTCATACCAATTCCAATTAGTACCTTGTTTGACTTGTTTTAATATTGGGTTGACTAATTCTCTTATGTATTTTAAATTGGAATGAGCTTTGCTCATGTCATCAATAGATTTGGTACTCCAATATTGCTTTGTTGGAATGAATGCATTTTCAAACTCATACAAAGTAGTTGTTCTTGTTACTAAGTGATTCTTTGCTCCTTCCAAAATATCTATTATATTTTGGTTCCCATTAATTGTTGCAATTTGATAGGCATTTATTGAAAATTCAGTGTCTATTACTTCCAAAAGTTGTTGCATTTTGGATGCTTGTTCACAAATTCTGAAAGCTGTGTTGATAATGTCTCGAACCATTACTTCAGAATTTGCAATAACAGCTGCATTTAACACTGTTCGTTGTCGATCATCCATTTCAAATACTATCCCAGGTTTAACTTTTAAAATTGCATGTATCCTATCAAAATCTAGTTTTGAAACTGAATTAAAGAATACATTGATAATATCATACTTCCCAATTCTTTCATAATCAGTATAGAATTCTATATCTCTTTCATGAGAATGTGTAAGCATTGTAGGAAGGTCATCATTGTTATGATTTTCATACATTGTTTTATGTTTTGATGAGTTGGTTAGATGTAATAAAACATCCTTCAATGTGGAAGATATTGTTGAAAGATTTGAATCCATTTGCTTTAGGGCATCCAATAAGAGGTCAGAAGCTCTTGGTTCCATAGAATTTCGTGGAGGCAACATGAGATCAATAAACATCTCAGTTACTCTTCCTTCTAGTGCAAGCTCTTTCAAACTTCCTTCATTGGACTTCATTGTGGCTTGTAAAGCAAAACAATGTTCAATGTCCTCAAATATGATCAAAATAAAATTATTGAATAATTTTTTGATTCAATTAGCATATGATGATTAGTATTTCTGTTTGTTTTTTTTTTTGTTTTTTGTTTTTTTTCGTTTTTTTTGTTTTCACTTTCTTTCCTTCCAAATCAAAGTCTAAAATAAATTTTACATACATGTAAATTATTATATATTTTAATTGTAGTTTTTTTTTTTTCAGATTTTAAATCTTTTTACATGAGCCAAGTCATTTTTCTTGTCTTATTATGACATCTTAATAAAATTAAAAAAAATTCATGTAATAATGAATTGTGTATGATTTTAAATTTTATGATAAGCAATTTGAGCAAAGTAATGCATTTGCACATGTATTTTGATTTTTTGATTTTCAAAACTAATAACCACTCAAGTGCATATGTATGTGTGTGCATATGTATGTGTGTGCATATGTATTTATATATTATATGTTAAAAATCAACAATTTTTTCTTGTAAAAAAAAGAAATTTTGTTTTGATCTTTGATGTGTTTTGTTTTAGAAACACCTAATGATAAATTATTGGCTTGTACTTAAATACAAGAACAATTTCAAAGTATTAGCAATTGCAGTATTATATTTTGATAATTGTTACTTATATTATCACTTTTACAAATGTTTTTAACTTTTTTCTAGAGATACAACATTCAATATAACATTGTTTGTTAGATTTCAAGCATTTAATTTTGAGATTCTAAGAAATATTCTTTTTGTTGCATGAACTATTGTGTCTTTTCAAAATATCATTTTTGAAAGGAACATCATTATTGAGCACTTCTTATTTTTGTTCTTCTTTTTAACAAAATTGATATATATATATTATTTATTATTTTGGTTTGTATTTTTTATTTATTTATTTTTAATAATTATTATACATCTCAAATATTCACATGAATGAATATATATAAGGAATTGTTAATGCTACATCTCCAATTGATATTAGAACACCCCACATGACCTCCTTGTACACAACTAACTAATAATATGTCTCTTTCTTTTACACATTTTTTCTTTTCTTTGCTTTAAGAAAAAGTGGTAGTTGAGAGGGAGACAATAAATATTTTATAAAACAACAAAATATTTCCATCAAAAAATCAATTTATTGCCAAAAAAAATCAATTCAAATTTAGTCTATTTTTGGATCAATATTGGAGTTAAATATTGGGCTACCAAATACACCCTAAATGTAGAAGTGCACTTTTTAGTCAATTTAAATTGTGCAAAAGTCATGTGGGGTGTAGCAATATCAATTGGGGATGTTACATTAACACTTCTCTCTCTTTCTCTGTTTGTATATATATATATATACAAAAAAATTTCTTTCTAATAATTCACTACTTGACTTATTTTAAATCAATATACATTTACATGAACAAATGTTACTCCAAGAGATCTCAGAATATGAGTTTTAAACTGCATTATTTAGTCTCTGACAACTATATTCCCATAATTATTCTCATGTGTTTTTATGATATTAAATTACTAAATAAAGGTGGGTTCACTCACACCAAAACTCTGAAGAGATTTCTTTCGAACCAGCACCACAACAAGTGCAAATTTCATTTCGTTTATATACTACCTTCATGAACTGCAACACAACAACTACAACAGCAAATCCTACAAACAAACACCCATCTGCAACCAACCAATTCACCCGAACACAAACCTCCAACATGCATTGTAAGCTTTGACGTAGAAACTCACGAGAAATACGCAAAACACAGTGTTCATGGTAGAAGAAAACAAAGCTTGAAAAACATGAAAAGAAGGTGAAACTGGAGGTTATATAATTAATCAATATAAATACACAGCTTGTGTATGTGTGATGGTTTCATGCGATGCTAGCTGGGGAGAGTGAAGGAATGGGCGGCGAAATCCTGGCTATGGAGCTTAGAAATCGTCGACGCGGAAGAAGGGGGGAGTGTAGAAGGAGCTGGGGAAAGTGCCAGCGCTGTTGGGGAAGAGCGTGAGGAAGCAGATGACTGCGAGGGCGATGGCCCAGATCTTGCGCTCGTTGCCCAGCGCCGTGATTTCGTCTTGTGCCGGGAGCTCCTCCCCACCTCGGAAGAACGCCGCAATGAAGCCCCACACCAAGCTCAGGATGCTCCCTGTCACACCGCCGAAGCCCAGTCCCAGGGTCGTGAAGAAGGAGAGGCGGCCTGCGATGCGGCGTCCCAGGACCGCTTGTGCGATGCGTCCTCCCTCGAGGCGGCCCGCCGGGAGCATATTCAGGGATGTCACTACAATTCCTGTTGGGGAGAATCAAGCGCCAGCGTAGCAGTCAGTATCATGCAAGATACAAAGGTTTTCGAGATTTCAAAACTGTAGAGCACAATCGCCGATGTTAAGGCAGTGCGGATGCGTTGAAGCGTACCTAGAAGTCCAGCAAATGCGAGAGGGTCGATCGGAACACCGAGTCCGGGAACAGCCTGTGGAAGAACGTTGCCGAGCTCATCAGTGTATGGTCCGATCACGTACTGCACAAACGAAAGGAGAGGATTGTTGTAGAAGAATTGTGGGCGAATGTATCTGCACATTGAAATAAGAGATGATAATGTCAGATCCTTGAATACGTTACACCGCACACTACAACTACAAAAAGAAAACCACGGCATGGTTATTCGAGAGGATGGACGAAAAGTTCCGCTTCATGTCTTTCCCATGCTTGAATACGGTTGGGAAATTCAAAGACTGGGTACTATCAAGGAAGGCGCGAAGCGTACAAGGCGTTCTCTCCACCATTCCAGCTCTGATCCAGTAAGAATGCCGTGATGGCTAAGCCCAGGGATGTTACATATGCGCTGGTGATGCGCGTTGCAGCGATATCAAACAAGGCCTTTCTGTTGGGTAAGAGAGACTCGTAGTTGTTGACGACGCCCAAGCATCCAGTCCAATTCGATGGAATCATGAAGGTGGGACTTAGTTTGACCCCATACCGTGATGCCACATAACGCGTAGCTATCTGGGACGGAACAAGAGCACAGGATTTAATCGCGCAAGTTGGCCTCCAACACAATAAGGAACATTCTAATATCCTGCAGTTCATAGTGCAGTTTAAACGACCCAATTTATGCAAGGAGCGCCGGTTTTTACATACCTCCGAGGTCCCAAAGATGCCGAGGTAGCCAGCGAAGAGGGGAAGAACGCGGTTCACGTAGTCATCGAAGGTTGCATCAGGCGTCAGGAAGAAACCACTCATCACACTGATTGTGCCCAACGTCGTCACCCCCAGCAACGCAGCGCTGACATACCCAGTCCAAGTGCTCAACCTTTGCGATTCCAGCTGCAGGTCGATCTCCGCCTTCGGCTGTACCACACACACCTGCACAAACAGACACTCTCTTTGAAGAGTAAAAATCCTATTCAGTTGTGAGAAATTTCTCCTATTTTGACAGCTTGGAGAACAAAAAAACGCTGAAGTTCAGGAGATAGAAACGAACCTGTTTGGTTTCTTCATCGACGGTTTCTTCCATAAACCACAGATCCACTTCACGACCACATGCCTGTGCAAGCTTGGCTTCCAGCTTTGGCTTAACTTCCTCCAAGGGCCTTCGCAAATTTCCAATGACGATGCCGCCATCTCCCATCCGTCGGACGTCGTTCGCATAGAATGTGTCAATTCCAAAACAACTCCTCACCTTGCTCAAATCCAATGCTACAAATGTTTGCTCGGCTTTATCCAACCGTTCCTTCTCCCTCTCCAACGAGTTCCTGCCCAGTTTTATGATCGTATGAATGACAACGAAGAGCTACAGGCAGAGAAATGAGAGCTTCTTCACATACTGAAAATTTCATCGAAACTTTGAATAAAATGTAAAAGTAGGCGAACTAGTGGCAAGTCCGGCACAAATACCTAACGACGCTGTTAATTAATTTTTTGACGAAGTTCCCTGTATTCTCGTTTTCTATGTCTCGCAATTTTTCTTCCGCGCGCTTTTTCTCCAGCTTCAAAGCAGATTCGATTGATGGATTGCTCATGAACTTCTTGAAATCTTCATCTAACCTCCAGTCTCTTTCTTGCTTCTTCTCCGGCACGTCGTCCTTTTTCGGTTCTCCTGGTAGTTTTGGCCTCTCCTCTGTTGACGTTCCTGTGTTCGTTGTTTTCCTAATACGTTAAACTCCTAGTCTGTAGCTCGATGTTCAATTTAAAACCATGAAGTGTAGATAACGAAGCAAAGAGTTAAAAATAATCTCCGAAAGCAGCAGAGCAGACTAATGACCTGATGGTTGAGATCCATTCTGAGAGCTTCTCTTTTCATCCTTGACTTCAGCTCTTGCTAGTAGCCGATCCGTTTGCCTGTATTTCACAGGCTTATATTGTGAGGCTCCATTAGCTAGTTGTTGACCCCACACCTGATAACCAAACAACATAGCGTCTTAGAACATTAAGCATGCGAAAAATTGTGCCTCGTTTCTCAAACACCACCACAAACACTGCACATGGAGACAACCAACTGTGCTACCACTACGCAGGATGGCAACCATTGACAACATACCTGGGAAGGACGAAGTACCGCGTTAGAGCTCTGCTTTGAATGAGTCAGACTTTCCAAAGGAGTGGAGAGCTTGCCCACTGTTAGCAACTGCGTAGCCATGGACACCATTTCCAAAATTGAAATCGTCTGCAAAATTACCCACATTCAGACCCAGTAATGAAGATAGAATGAACGAGGTTCAATTCAAGCAACATCCTCGTCGTCCACGTTTCCGTACCTGTTGTACAAGAGATTTGCCTCACAATGTCCACAAATCCCGAGATCAAATTCACAGGTCGAGTTCCTGTACACCCAATAGCACACTCCCTTGCGAAACAAATGTACTAGGGGAGCCTCAAGTCTATCACACAACTCAGCTCAAAATTTTCAAGGGAATGCTGGAAACTCCATTGACGGCGTGAATAAATCTCCTCTCCCTCCGGCTGAGCTTGTATATACGAGAAGAAGCCCGGGGTGCTGTTCGAGCTACGATCGAGAACCGTGTGGAAGCAATGAGAAGTACCCACATGTCGCATGCGCGAAAGTGAAATATGGCCAAAGTGAGAGCCGCTGCTTACTCGTGGACGCTGTCTCGCCGTCCCCAACGTCGCCTCAGCTCCTTTAGCTAGCTTTGTTGCGATCGGTCCACATGCCATTGCCATGACACAGACGCCGTGCATGCAATTCTCGAACTTCACAGCTCAAGTTTGCCAATCATCCAGGCTTCGGCATCTGATCGCCGGCGAGTCGCGACCACGATGCGAGAGCTGACGCCCACGCCACCGCCGCCGCTACCGTCACCTCTGACGCTGCCGTTGCAGCCGAAGGTCTGGCTTGGCTTAGCCTTCTCTTCTAAATCTCACAACTGTGTATATCTGATTCATACTGTACCCCAAGTTGAGATACTATACTAATGAAAGCATTCAAGGCACTTTGGGAGGTCCTTGTATGAATTTTCTGCAGAGTAACTCTTTTTTCTGTTTTTTGGAAATATCATGCTTTTTCAATAGTGGTTTGTTTGTGCAAACGTCTTTGACTCCACAAGAATCTCTGTCATACCTTGCACAACTAAAATCCAAGTTGGGTTCATGCCAAGTCTTGCCAAATTCGTATTTTTCTCGTTTTTTAATTAGTGTGTTTTTCTTTTTTCTTTTTTCTTTTTCTTTTTTTATTTTAAAGTCTTTCTGTATTTAAGTATGGTCATTGATGTTTTCTTACTCATTTGATGTAAATACATGCCAGACGGGAGGATTGATACTCTAGTTCACACACCAAATCCAGGTATAAGTAATAGATTCAAGCAGGGTGTCAATCCGGACATAAGGGATGGGTGAATGTTGTGGGAATAGAGTGAGAGAGACCAGCGTCACCTTCTGAAGGTGGCAGAAGGGGGGCCCGCGTGTGGTTCGCGCCATTGTTGGCCCCTGACTCGAGCATTCGATCATCTTTCAAGCTTTTCTTTGCATCTCTGAAGGCGTCTAAGGTTTGAGTTTGGTGCGCCACCGGACGCCCTTCCGTAGCTGCGAACCCAATAAAGCTTTTGTGAGCTTTTGTGAGCTTTTGTTCGTGATAGATAGAGGTCGGTGACGGTAGTTCGGAAGTAGAGCTGAATCCAAGGATTATTGGGTTTGGAAAGACAGTTAGGTTTTAGAGTAGGCGAGTTGAGGAGAGGAGAGGAGGGCAGAGTAGAATTTTTTTGTCCTTCATTTTTAAAATTGAGATTTGTTTTTCTTCGTGATTTGAGTTTTGGTAGTTTTGGTAGTTTTATTTGAGACTCGATCCGTGGAGATGGGTCGCATGAAGCCCGCTGCGTTGTTGCAGCATAGTAAGAAGAAGAAAGGGCCTGCCCGCCTGAGTTCGTCCACGATCGTGATGGTGGGGGTGGTACTCGTCCTTTTGGTATTGTCTGTTCTCGTGATGAATAGACACCAATCTGCAGGGTAAGGTTGCACGAGTCTATAGAACTTTTGTTTGATTCTGAGTTGTATACATGGGGGCATCTCGATATTTTTTATTTTATTTTATTTTCTTCTTTTGTAGGATTTATCATTTTTTGAGCTTTTCTTTGGGCTTTGAAATTGGCGTTTAACGTTTATGAATGTATTTATTTTTTCTTCCCCTCACATTTTTTGAAAATTTCTAGAGTTTCAGATCTGAGTGCAGTGCCTTGAGTTTGCCTAAATTCTAGTGTCGTGGGATCTGATTAGATGTATGTTGGCTGAGTGGTGCCGCAGAAGCCGAGATGGGAGTAGTAACCAAGGCGTTGCTGGTTTCGTTGAAGAGAAGGTAGTGGCTAACTAATCTCCCGCAAACGCTTTGTCCTAGTTTCCACGTATCTTTGTCTAGCCTAGTTCTAGAGAATCTTCTTGTCAAAGTCTTGCTCATTTAACTTCACCTTGGCTCGAATTTTGTGCAGGTTGCTCATGATAAGTCCAATGACAAGTCCAATGACAAGTCCAACGATAAGTCTGATGATAAGTCCGATGACAAAGCAGGTGTAGATGGGAGTCTCTTCGAACGATATGCGGTACAATCGCTCGTCTCTAATCTAATCAATACCGACTTCATCTCGTGCATTTGCATCGGTTCGTCGAGTCACGAGTGTAGAATGTGCACTTCATTTTTTCCATCGAGAAATCCTTCAGCCTTGCAGGGCACATTTGTATTGTTCATCAAAAAGTGTCCCACGGTCGGGATGGACACATCACCTGCTTCAATTTGTATAAACATGGAAAACGTAGTATACAATGGTAGTACTTTATCTGTCTATGATATTGTTCTCTCAGAGCCTTTTGAATGGCCTGGTTGTCCTTGGATTGTTGCTTCATGAGTTCATTATAGGAAGTAAGTATGCACAAGGATTCACTAGACATAAACAGACAGTTGATGTTGAACTTGTTCTGACAGTACTACTGCGTCCAAGCTGTGGGTCATTTTCTAGTATGTTTACAACTGCTACCGAACTGACAGCCCCTCCTGGAAAGAGCTGGTCAGTGATGCCAAAGAGTCAGCTGGATTGCCAACATGTGATATTGGTGTGATGACAGACTCTGAACACTACGAAGGGATTCATCACTGTCGAGCTTTTTGGAAAGAAGACACCTCTCACTGTGGAGAATTTCATCACACACAGGTACTGTATCGTTTGTCACCTCTCTTCGTTCTACCTTAATTGAACAGAAGTGTAAAGGACACCAACCTGAACATGTTAACAACTGGAAAGTAAGATAGATATCACACATATTTCAAATCAATGGCATTCGTTCCTCATAAAAAGATTTACGTGCAGTAAAAACGGATACTATGATGGAGTGTTATTCCATCGTATCATCAAGGACTTCATAATCCAGAGTGGTGATCCTAAGGGCGATGGAACTGGTGGCGAGTCGATATGGGGTGGCAGCTTCAGGGATGAATTGAATAAAGAGTATGCAGCTGCACCTGGTTTTTATACTTTGAGGCGTAAATTTTCGAGGGATAATTTCCTATAATTTTACAAGTCATGGGTTAGATAATATATTTACAGGTGTTGTTTGGTTACTCTTGCACATCAACTTCAACCCGTGTGCCGTTGTTTGTAGGTTGGTTCATGAACCATTCACTCTATCGATGGCAAACATAGGTGAAAAAAACACGAACAGATCGCAGTTCTTCATAACCACAATTGCTGCACCGCACTTGGACATGAAGCACACTGTGTTTGGACGTGTTGTTCGTGGTAAAGAGGTGGTCCAGGTAATTACCGGAGTGCTTGGTAGATTCATAAAATATCGTTTAGATTATTCCATGAAATCAAGTTTTTCCTAACGATTTGCCGTTGTTCTTGCACAATGGTCTCTTTCACATTTAGTCTTGTGCAATCGTATGTAAATTGACTATATCCTCGTATATTTTGATCTGTTCTACAGGCAATTGAGGACGTGGAAACAGATGATAAAGATAGACCTCTAAAACCTGTTCACATTCACAATATCAAGATTCATGATGAGCTGTGAGGACGAGCTGTGAGGACGAGCTGCCATTTTTGTTGCCCCAGGATCGCCATCAACTGTAGCGCCTATTGCACATTATCTGGCTAATAATTAAATCACTTTACATTGAGGAGAATGGCGTTGAAAGCAGAAAGATTTATTCACTCAATCCTGCCAGCCACCCGCAGAGTGAACCACTATTGGTGTAATGAAGCTGTCGATTTTCCTGTCCGTCTCTGGGTTATTATACCACAAGACAGGCACGTCAGTATCTTTAACTCAAAGGTGAAATTTTATGGACTTCAGATGAGTGGATATGTGAGTAAGGAGTTATTGCAGTCTATCTCCTTGGAAGCATTGATAGAAGTGGAAGTAGAAATAGGACGAGTTTGATTGATTTTTGGCAAATAAATTTTATGCTATACTGCCTTCAGTATGCTTGTTGTATAGTTGCTCATGGAAGGTGAAAGATGAGCCATGCATGGGACGTCTTGTATGCACATCGTGATGGGTCCACTATACAGTAACCCAGGATTCGGCATGCATACTCCACTCTGCCACCCAATTATTGCACATAATGTAAGCCATAAGTAGCATTAGCAATATGATGCAACTTTTTCTAATATCAAGTGAATTTCACAGGCTTCAGGTATTGTATGTGTGTCCTATGAACTTTCAAAGTCTGCATATTTGTAGGACTTGCTTCGCCTGAAATTGTACATTTTCTTCAGGTGAGAACAGAACAACCCTCAGATCAATTAAGAATTCAAGATGTGAATTGCTCTGCGAACCAGATGAATTGAAAGTATAGTTGAATTCATTGGTTTATGCACACATCATGTGGCTTTCAAAGGCCACAACCACTGTGCTCATTCGAAAATGATACTGGAATTGAGAAAATGATTATTTCCATTATAACAGTGAACTATAATGTCATCGGATCATTCGATCAAGAACTTGGTCTGTTTATAATAGTAGAATGATAAAATAGCAAACTAGGAACAAAATTAACAAAATCAGATAGAAGTAAAGCTTTTCAACGAATTTATTTAATGACTTTAAATTTCATTGTGAGTTGAATAGAAGAAATTAGATGAATTTTGTACTAAAAAATTGCTGTGTCCGAATTTTTTTAATCATCATTGTAAATTTTGAAAGATAGTAAAATAATAATGAAAGATTTAGCCAACTTGCGTTTTTATCCAATTGGCTATATTCGTCATTAATAGATTATTTTTCTTCAAATCTCAGACACGCCAAAAGTAAAAAAAAATAAAAAATGGCATTAATAATCTTAAAACATGTACTGCCCATAGTGTATTTGAATTTTACAAAATGCAATAAAAACCAATGAATGGACATTTGCAAGGATAACTTTTACTAAGTTTCTAAAGGATTAGTCAGTGGTTTTATCTTTTTCCACTTTTAATCGGATTTATTTTGATGAAGATTGAAATTTGGTTTTTAATTAATTAATTATTTAATATTCTTATATTTTTCAATTCATTATTAAAGGTTCTAAAAAACAATAACATGCAGATAATATATATACATATATCTATTATTTTTCAAAAAAGTTATTATAATTTGAAATGATAGAATATTTAGTAGAAACTTGTTTTAGACATTTTTTATTTATTTATTTATTTATTTTTTAATATCTTCTGTAAAACCCAAGTTTTAAAAAAATTATTTAAAATTAGAATTTTAATAATTTAGCCAATGAGAAGTTTTAAAATTTTAAATAATCATAATTTCTAAATAAATTAAAAAATTATAATTTTTTTAATGATTTTTTTTTATTGATAGACTATTAAAGCAATGCAAAAAAATTGTCAAAAAAAGCAGTGTATACATGTAAAATAGTGCAATATGAAGATTAAAAAATGACTATTTTTAAGGTTTTAAATTATTAGAATAGGTATTTTCAAACTCGAAGATATTGAAAAATCTTGAATTAAGTCTTTAGATGCCATAAATTTTTCTTTCATGTATAATAGCTAATAAAGAGATCACATACTTTTTTAAAATACTACAAGGGTTGGAAGTAAAGTATCTCAATTGTAAAATTCTTCAACATCAGTTTTTTTTTAGATGTAGGAAACTTTAAGAAGAAGTTCTATTGACACATGGCACATGAAAAGATCAAATCACCATTTGCAAATTTTCTATGATGGTTTCTACTAAAGATATCATTGAATAATATTATTTAGTATTACTTATATTTATTTAAATAATAAATTTATAATAAAAACTACTAAAAACACATATATTAATTAAGCATAGAAAAAAAGATGTATATAAATATATATTATCTTTTATACTTTTATGCTAATTTAAATTTATGTCTTAACCTAAATAAGTAATAATATAAGACATATTTATTATCTTAATAGATGATTATAAAGAATTTTAAAAGATTTTATCATTAATCTATTTATTTTTATTTATTATTTATTTATAAAGAAATAAAAATTTGATTTTATAATATTTAATATAGTAACATTATAATTTAATTATTTTTGATATTAAATTAATATTTTTTTTATTGATATATTAGTAATAAATAAATTATAAATTACAGTTTATTCATTATTATAAAATATATTAATTGATGAATTCTATAATTCAAGAAAATAAATAGTTTCACAAAAAAATTCCAAAAAAGAAGAGATAATACAAGTATTTTTTTAATAGTAATATTAATTAATGTGTATTTATTATCTTTTAATAATTTATTAAAATAATAAGATAAAATAGTATATTATCCAATATCTATTTTTGTAAGTTTATGTAAGATTGTAGCAACTTTTTATATGCACTTATTGCAACAAGTTTAAAATAATATCTTAGTCTTAATCCTACAATGTTATTTTCAATAACTATGTCATTGTTTAATGGTGCTTTTGAAACCAAAAATTAGCCACCAATAATTGTTTAAGCATCCTAATAATTTTAATTTTTAAAATTTATATATCTATTTTTTATTATTTATTATTTTTTGTAAGTTAACTCCTTATTATTAACATAATAATTTAGGTATAATAAAAATTTCTTTTATTTCAATGTCAAAATAAAGGAATTAATGGCAATATTAATGGATTGCTTAATGCTTCATTAAAAATAGATATTTGATTATAATAAATTAAAGATAATATATTGGATGTCATGTTAAAAAAATCTTATTTCATTAGATTTTAAAAGGCAATAGATTTTAATATCAATAATCATACTATAGGTCCAAGGCCAATATTCAATTTAGTAAGAACAAAGGCTAAAGTTTATTTTCAAAAGACTTTTAATTTTTATTAATTAAATTTTTAATGTTTTAATTTTTTTCTAAAATAAAAATCTAAAATAAAAGTTCTTAAAAGAAAGTTTTTTATAAGTCAAATATTATTTAATTTTGAATTAGAATAATTTTTTAGCAATACTTTTAATAAAGAGTGGTTTATTGCTATAGCAATTTGGAACATTTAACTTTAGAAGAATAATTTTTATTGCTTATTATAAAACTATAAACTTTAGTAATAATAAATCTATTTTATTTGAATTTTTATAAGCTAGATTTATCAAATTTAAGTATTTGAGAGACAACAAAAATTATATAAGTAACAAATTATTAAAAAAAAAAGATGGATTTTAAGTGAAGAGCTTAGAACCACCTCTTTCAAGATTAATGTTCTAGCCCTTCCACCACTTTCTACTATCTTATTTTCTTGTCTTTGTTTCTAGCTCTCTCTTATTTTCTTATAAGTTATAGTGGTCTTATAACCTCTTGAGGTTACTTACTAACAACCTAAGATTCATCAAATTTAGAACAAAATTGCTATAGGAGTGGTTGTTTGAAAATAAGGTCTTTAAGCAAGTAGAATGGATAAAGAAAAGAACACCTAACTTATCTTCTTTGAAATATATTATTTATTTATTTTTATATTATATCATTTAATTAAAATTAATTTAGTAAAGACCTTTGATAGAACATGTAATGACAAGATTCTTTCAAATGATATAGTAGTGAGGCCAAAGCATCTAAAAGAGATAAATTTTTTGTTCTTGTCATAATTAATTTTTCCAAGTTGGAAGTTTTTACCATCTCTAACTGAAGTGAGTTTTATTTTTATTATAACAATAGTTTTTTATTTTTATTTTTTATTATTAGATATTTATTTTAATCTTCTATTTCAATAATTTTTCTTCCTTCTCTCTTTATTGTAATGCCTTTTAAAATTTTAGGTATACCAAACCTCAATTGTAAAGATTTACAATCCAAATTATTACTAATTTCAAACTACACTCTTGTAAGTTTAGATTTTATTATTAAAAACCAATATCACTTATTATTTCCAACCAACGGATTTATTTAATCTCTATTTCATTAAGAAGAGCAAGCTTGAATTGGCTTCAATTCATTGTACTTGGACCTTAGGTTCTAATAACTAATAAACTATCTTTTGGTTGCTATATCCTTCTATCTTTGTTATACTCAATTTTCTCTCAAAACTTCGTTTTTTGTGCCTTACTTGAGTCTTTCTTCTAAATTCTATAATAAAATTTTAAGTAGATACTAGAATATTTTTACAATCCCATAGAAAAAGAATATGCACTCCTTCTCTTTAGATCAAATCACACAAGCTATCACGTCATCGCTTCAATAAGGTGAGCATACAGTGACTTCTTTCATCTCTCAAAACTCACAAATCTCTACTACACTCTATTAAGTTTGATCAAAAATTGTGAAGCTCATTAATGAATGAAGTAGGATACATAATATTGATCTTCTTCACTATTACATGGACTTTAATTACATAATCACATATCTTCAAATTCATACTTATTAAGATGTCACACCTTAATAAATAAATAAATAAATATATATATATATATATATATTGCATAAACCACATAAACTTTTAGATTTCTACTTGAAGTCATTAATAGCTATAAATTATTAATTTGGTAGTATTACTATCATAATTACTAATTCCAGCTATATTAATTCTTAAATTATAGTTGTTCTATCATTTGTTGGAATCTATTTCTTTTGATCTTTTTAATTCTACTTAATAGTCTCCTTTTGACTTCCACATTGATTTCACATCTATTAAAATATGCTTCATGTCAATAAATATCTCATTCAACATTCTTTTATTTAACTAAGTCAAGAAATTTGACTTTAATGAGATGAAACTCTTTATTATTGGCATGCTACTAAGCCAATTCTTTTTGGCATGTACTATTGCAAGTAATATTAAATTATTGTCCAAAGGCAAAGTGGAGGTTCATGCTTCTTTCTTTTTTGTTTTGCCTCCAATTCTATATTCTTACTATATGTTGGATTAGGATTTTCTTCTACATTCAAAAAAGACATTTTGAAGATCTAATTTGGACTCTTTCGTGGCTTTGCATTATTAAAAAAAAATTGAAGAAGGAAGGAGGAAGGAATTTACCACATCCTCTACCAATTCCTTTAGGACCTTTTATCCCTTAATTTCTTATTTCACAAAGTTGGTAGCAAATTTAATTATGTAATTTACTGACATAGATTTCAATTGATCCATAGTTTGGTCTTAAAATTGAGCCTTGGTTATTAGCTTTAATTTGACAATATAAAAAATACTAACCTCTTTAACTTAAGAAACTT